AAAGCAAAGCAAAGCAAAGCAAAGCAAAGCAAAGCAAAGCAAAGCAAAGCAAAGCAAAGACAGTTCATTTTACTTACAGCGTTCGAAGGGCAGTAAAATCAAGAAATGATTTGTTTCTTATAACATGAATATTATTGTTGGATAAATCTCTGTAAAAGGAATTAAAAAAAATAAATTAACCAACCAAAAAGAGAATAAATTTAAGATATACATATTTTTACAACCATTACTCCCCGTAAGAGGCTCTTTCGTGAGTTCGCCTATTCTACTCACGCACTACCACTATATTATAAGCTATTCTATATCTACAACATACGACACCCAACTCCCATGTTGTTTTTTTTATGGAGAAAGGAAAACTAGAAAACCTAGAGAAAACTCTTGTGGGAAGGTACAATGCTCATATGTGCGTTAGCCGTGTCCCGACTTAGATCAGCCCAGAAGTTGTTTCACGGTTTGATCCGTGAGTTATCCGTGCCTTGACTTAGATCAGTCCAGAGGTTGTTCAAGGGTTCCATCTGTGAGTTAGCCAAGCCCTGACATAGATCAGCCCAGAGGTTGTTTCAGGGTTCGATCTGTGAGTTAGCCGAGCCCTGACTTAGATCAGCCCAGAGGTTGTTTCAGGGTTCAATCTGTGAGTTAGCCGAGCCCTGACTAGATCAGCCCAGAGGTTGTTTCAGGGTTCAATCTGTGAGTTAGCCGAGCCCTGACTTAGATCAGCCCAGAGGTTGTTTCAGGGTACAATCTGTGAGTTAACCATACCCTGACTTACATCAGCCCAGAGGTTGTTTCAGGAATTCATAAATTGATTGATACTTACAGATCTGTAATCCTCGTTGTCTCTGATATCAAACTTTGTAACTGACAAACATCATTGACTTTACAAACCCTTGAGCCAAGAGATGATACTTTGCAATATGAACGCTCATTTACCACGGGACAAGGATTTGTACATCCAGCATCAACCGGCAAGAGAATCACAATGACCAATATCATAAAGTGTATGGAAGCGTTCCCAATGTTTGACATTTTCAATAAGGCGCACTAGATATTCTAAATCAAAATCTTAACAGAACACCGTCTTTTTTTGAATGTAGCTAGATCAGTATTTTTTTCGGAACTGTCCGTAATGTAATAGTGTTAGGTTGTTATGCAAATGAGGGGTGAAAATATATTCAATTGAAATTATAAACGATAAAAATATAAAAATATTAGTCGAGCGCCAATCAAAAAATAAAACGATCTCGCGGCAATAAAATTCTGTGAAAAGAATATATTTTAAAACCTCTTAAAATTTGACTTTTTGGACACAGAAATAAACGACAATTGATGAAAAAGTTGACTTTTAGATAGAAGGCAAAATACAGCTGTTTCAATTATATATTTTGTATCGGCCTCTAGCTAATGAAGGGTGAACATGAATTCAATCGAAATTATTAACAACAATAAAAATTAAAAAAACTAATAGTCGAGCGGCAATAAAAAAATTGCGGAAAAAAAAAAAAAAAAAAATTCTGCGAAAAGAATATATCTTAAGACCTCTTAAATTTTGAATATTTGAACACAGAAAAAAACGACGATTGACGAAGAAGTTGTCTTTAGGATGGAAGGAAAAAAACCAGCTGTTTCAATTGTATACTTTGTATCGGTCTCTAGCTTTTTTTAATTAAAATTGAAGCCGTGAGCAAATTTCATACCGTCGTGTCGATATCATTACTTTTCCGCAATATACGGATTTAAAATTGTCGTGCCGTACGTTGGACAACAAAAACAAAAACAAACAAAAAAAAAA